TTTTTTTTTCTTTCGAAGAGTAATATGTATAAAAACCAACAATTGGTTTTGATGCTTTGAACAGTGCTTCTCATACTCAAAGAATACTAGGGTTTGCTCCGAAGGTCGTTACTTTGATTCATAATCCCTAAATAGGTCTTTAAGCCCTTTGAAATAGACCAATAATCAAGCAATTTAGCACCTTTACAGATATAATGGGCTTCGAAGCCGGCTTATGTATTTCGAAGCCGTTGTTATTTGATTTTTTGGCGCCAACATCTTGTTCTTCGAAGCCAAATATTTCATTGTTGTTATTTGATTTTTTGGCGCCAACATCTTGTCTTTGAAGCCAAAATATTTCATTTCGAAGCTGGCCCAATCCCGGAATAAGCTCTTCCCTCCAAAACTATCAATATTGGAAGAGATTCCTCGCATTCGTACTTTTAATACTTAACGACTCACGGGGTATAATTTCGGACACACAGATTTTAAAACCCTCTCGCTTCGTGTTCCAAAATCTCTTGCCTTTTACAAACCCTTCTCTCTACTGGTTCCTCTTTGCTTCGGTCTTCATCTTCTGAAAAGTGTATCATCAATGGCTTCTTCTTCACAAAAAGTGCCAGCCCCAGAGCGCGTAGGCTCATCTTTAGCTTTGAGGAGGCTTATTGACGCAGAATGTGAGAAGTACAAGGCTGGAGAGAAAAGTGCTATATATGGGCGTATCTTCGTCCCTCGTCATCATGAGCAGCAGAACTACGTGCTCGGACCAATTTTCAAGGAAGTCCTTACTGAGCTTCCAACCTTTTATCCGCGTATGGTGGACCAACGTCTCCTTTATGAAGGTGGCCTTGACTGGAAGAACTGGAAAAGCAATCGTCCTCATCGATGCTGGCCCACGATAAGACCGGAATGGCAAGAATGGTATGATCGGATCATTCTTGCTAAGACACTGGATCTCCAAGAGCTCTGCCTCCTCGATGCCCTTCGACTATCTAGGGTAACTATCTCAGAGGACCCTTTCCTAGTTCCTACTGCTTTGTGCTTTTGGAACCCCGTTTTCAATTTCTTTCAATTCAGATGTGGGATGATAGCCCCCACTGTTCTTGATATTTGCCATCTATTAGGAGTATCCCCCATTGGTACCCCCATCACACCAGATTTTCCTGACTTAGCAGTCCCTTTCTCCCTCCCCTCTCTTAATTCATCTTACAGTGATTTTGTTAGAGCCGAGAACAAAAGAGTGGGTCTAGTAACTGATAGGGAATTCTTTTCCTTTTTATTATATTGGCTTTGCAAATTTCTTTTCTGCACCTCCTCCCAAAGAATCATGCCTGAATTTGCCCCTCTTGCCAAAGCCTTGGTTTTGCAGAAAAGAGTAGCCTTAGCCCCATACATTCTGGGTCATGTATATAGAGTTTGTTCCCTCTTTTGTGAGAAACCCTTAGATGCTAGTCAAGGGGGACCATTTTGGATCCTTCAGCTTTGGCTCTTTGCCTATTTTACTGAACTACAACCCAAATGCCTTAAATTTTCTAGGCTACACTCTCTCACTCATGGCATAAAACTAGCCAATGCTTCACTTTATCCAGCTACTTTTGCTTTTTATTTCTCCTTCTTTCATCAACTACCAGCTGCTCTTCCTGATCATCGTTTCCGTTCCTTCGAAACTAGCATAGGTCCAGCCTGGTTGAATCACTTCCTCAGTGACAGGCTCTGTGCCTTGCCTATCCATAAAGACATGTGGGCTTCCCTACTGATCCCCAGAGAACTGTTTATTGGGACCACCAACCCCATAGCCTATAAATGCATAGCTGAGCCTTATTGTCCTGCTCAATTTGCTAGACAATTTGGCCTCACACAAGGAGTTCCAATACCTCTCTGCAGCAACACCAACCTAACTCTGACCAAGAGAGATTTGAAGGTTCGAAAGTCAAGGCTAGAAGAGGCAACCTTCAAGTTTATGGATGATTTGGCCACTTTTGAGTACATCCCTTTCATACCTCATGGCACCTTTTTGAAGAGATATTAGAGTTGGTGGGTGAGTAATATGGAAGTTTATTTAGTTGAAGGTGATCAGAAACAAAAGAAGCGGAGACTGCTTGAGCCTGAGAAGAAAACAATTAAGGTGCAAGAAGAAGAAAAAGAAGATGCAAAAGATCAAGAGCATGAGTCATCCTTGATGAGGAGAAAAAGGGGAAGAGATATCAGAGTTGGTGGGTGAGTAATATGGAAGTTTATTTAGTTGAAGGTGATCAGAAACAAAAGAGGCGGAGACTGCTTGAGCCTCAGACTGAAGGAGCTGAGAAAACAGTTGAGAAGCAGACAATGCCAATTCAAAGAAAAAAGAGAAGAAAGATTACTGTCTCTTCTTCTGAGTTTAATATCTCCTCTTCCAATTTTGATGAGGATTCTGATTCTGAGACAATTGCCCAAGCAATAGGAAAGAGAAAGAAAATAACTGCTTCAACTACTGCCTTGATTGAAGATCCCCTTCATGAGGCAGCCGCCAAGGCCATGGAACAAGAACATTCCAAAGCCATAGTCGTCTTTGAAAGGGCTGAGAAAAGACGGCAACAACAAATTTTAAGAGAGAGAGCTGCTGCTGCTGATGCATTGCAAAGGGAACTAGCCAGAAAACAACGGACTGCTGGACACTATTCTCTCCGCAGTTCTCCCATCAGTACCAGTGCCTCTGGAACAAGTAATTTCTTTCATACCTCTACTGTTTTTTTTTACTTTGTCAGCTTGTGGTATTGAAGTTTAACATTGTTCTGCATTTCTTCTTTTTGCAGCGACAACTACTGCACTCACATTTCCAATGAGGTCTTCCTCAATTTCGGTTGAGGTCGATCAAATACAGAATGTCAGGGTTGTTCGAATCGTACTTCCACTTCCAAAGCCTATATTTGACATACCTTCCTTAAGTCCCAGTATTCCTGCATCTCTTCTTAAAAGAAAGAATTTGCAGAATATAAGACAATTTTTACTAATTTAAAAATAATCTTTTATTCAATTTATAGTTTTTTTTCACTAATTTAAAAATATTGTTTTACACAAATTTCAATATTACAGATACGCTTGTTACCATTTACCATTTATTATAACCTTATTCTTAAATTAAAAATATCTATTGAATACAAAAATAATCTTCTAGAAATAACATAACATGCACGCTCACAATAAAGGTTAAAAAAAGGAAAATTTACTATTTAGAGTGGATTTTGAAAAATTATTATACAAATGTGAAAAAGATAATGATTTTAATTATTAATATTTATATTATTTTTTATTTTTTATAAATATTTTCCCTAATCAGCACAGATATGTATTTCTCCCTCAAAAAAATCCAAACCCACATGCTACATCAAAATATATAATAAGACAATAATTTACGAATTAGTTAATTACACCAAACTAACAAGTTTTACTCTATGAAAATTTAAACATGGTAATTTTTTTAAAGCATAAAACAACCTAATTTATTTGTTTTATTTTTTTGTCAATCGATTGTCTATAAATATAAACAAATTACATTAAATTAGATAATCAATTGTATAAGAAAGTCCTACCATATATATGTATAAAACAACTTAACCACCATTAAAAAAAACACACACAATCCTAACAACTACATCAATACAAGAAAGTGTCACAATAAGACTTGAACCCAGTAATTGAACAAGTCTAGTTAGTTAACCTTTTTTTTTTTTTGAAACAGCAAGAAAAAGACTTTATTGATGGAAAACTAGTACAATGTACAAAGTGAATTACATCAATAAAGACAAGAGGGAGGTGCAAAGGCATCACAATGGGCTAGATCATCCCAACGAGGTTGGCACCAAACTAGCTCATCCTATCATTTGCTAGCACCCCCAGAGTTGGTGAGGGACCAACGAGCAAACACCAAAATACAAAAAGACCTTGCAATCACCCAAACCCAGCATAACACTCTCGAACCTCTCTCTATTATCACCACTATTAAGAGAGGTCCTTAAGCAACCAACAGAATTTTGTTCTACCTGAAACACTCCCAGGACTCCCAGGACTCACACCAATTCAGACCATCACAGCCCTTGAGTTGGCATAAGAAACCTACTGCAGGACATAACAGCCCACCTTATCCATCCACCTGCAGGACCACACCCAAACTTACCCAAATTTAAATAGAGAAACATTAACTCTAACACACATTATTTATTTATTTATTTATTGGCATCAGGGTGTTGGTTCAAAACTCGACTAATTCTCAGAGGTGCACAAGCCCACCGTAAGAAATTTTCCGTAAGTGCACTACAATTAATTCAAGTGTTTTCTCCCAATCTGATGGCCCTAAAGGATTGTTAACATCTAAAAAGTTTTGATCCCTAAACCTTAGAGGGAGCACACTCCTAAAACTCAAGATCTTACCACTAGGCCAACCCTTAGAAGTTTCCCGCAACTCTAATCCACATGTTGCACGCTTGAAATCAATATCAATATATAATTGCTTGCTACAAAATATTCAACAGCTTTAAATTGTAATAACCATACAATCCGTTTGGATTGATTGATTATGAGAGAAAATGAAAGAAATGGATTTCCCCCATTCTTAATTACTTGTTTAAAATACTAAAGAGAAGAGAAGTGAGAAGAAATGGATATAAATAGAGACAAATTCATTTCTCTTACAACTTGCTTTTTGAATCTCTCTAAATTTGGAACGATTATTAATTTTATAAAATATCAAAATTGTCCATCTAAGTACTAAAGAAATATAAGCATAAAAGGTTATTTTGATAATATAACTTGTAAGAGTTTATTTTATTTTATGTAGTCTATCGAAATAAAATTGAAGATAAACCGGTATCTTTTTTTATTTTTCTTAGTTTAACCAAACAATAGGACAAAAATCACAATCTCTTCTTTTCTTTTATTTTCCCTCCTAATTTAACAAATCATTTCTTTCTCCCCTTAATAGCCAAACATATATAGTAGAAGAAAAGACTAGGCCACCAGCACAACAAAGTTTTTTGTTTTTTTGTTTTTTTTTTTATGACCAGGTGTCAGACTAACTTGCATGCATCTCGATTAATTCTGTTACTCATGTAAATGGCCCTCTCCATCTGGATTGGGCAGAACCCACGAGCGTGGCACATATATAGCTATGAGAGAGAGAGAGAGATGGATACATACCTTGTGGAGCTTTTGGTGTGGAGAACAGGCCTGTGAAGATGGGAGGTGAAAAGCTTCATACAATACAACTGCTGACTCATTGAGAAATTTACATTAAACCAATATCATTAAAGAAGGTAATTTTTTTTTTTTTAAAATCAGATTGCTAAGAATATTGTATAGATAGGCGCACTTCAAAAAGAATATTATCTCTATATATAGTAAAGTTTGTTAAAGTGAAAGTTGGGCAATCCTTATCCTTAAGCAAATAGTCTGAATGAGATAGCTTGTTGTAACAAAATATATACATATTCCTTTGAAGAATGAGTTGTCCAGGTATTTCAGTTACATGCTCAGGAGAAGCAACATTTCGAACTGTAATATTATTTTGATATTATGATGTTTGAGTGATGCACAAGTTATCTCAACCAGTGAAAAAGTAATCTCTAGTAAATTTCATAATTTTAAAAATTATCGAAAAATTTGTTGAGAAATCCATTTCTAAGGGAGTGTATGGCATTAGATCCTATGATTGTTTCATTTTGTATGTAACAATGTGATTAATGTAATTATTTGGTGAGAAGAATAAATTATTATCTTTAAGTATAATTTTTTTTTTATTTTTACTCGTTGTTGTTTGACCGCCGGTGGCCAGAAAAGTTGCTGGAGGTGGCCAGTTGCGGTTGGTGGTAGTGATATAGGCAAATAGGTATATTAGGTGGATAAATATGTAAATAGATAGGTAACCCGTAAATAGATAAGTCATATTAGACAAATAAGTGAACAAATAATTGATAACTGAAATAGTGGACAAATAGGTAAAGATCATATCATCTTTTAAATTGTTATTATTCTTATCTATATGGTCTCTCAAAATATTAAAGTTTGGGGTTATTGCCTAAAAAGTTATAAAATTAGATTAATGGCCCAAGTGTCCAAAACTATCCAATTGTTATACAGTATATATTTTTACTAGCGGTAACCCGTGTTACACACGGGATATGAAAAAAATTAATAACATAAGTTTTACATAAAAAATATAAATAGTTAGACTTTTATATGCAAAATACAAGACAATTTTTACTAATTTTAAAATAATCTTTTATTCAATTTATAGTTTTTTTTTCACTAATTTTAAAATATTTTTTTACACAAAATTCAATATTACAGATACACTTGTTACCATTTTTCATTTACCATTTATTGTAACCTTATTCTTATATTAAAAATAGCTATTGAATAAAAAAATAATCTTCTAGAAATAACATAACGTAACATAACATGCACGCTCACAATAAAGGTTAAAAAAAAGGAAAATTTACTATATTTAGAGTGGATTTTGAAAAATTATTATACAAATGTGAAAAAGATAATGATTTTAATTATTAATATTTATATTATTTTTTATTTTTTATAAATATTTTCCCTAATCGGCACTAATATGTATTTCTCCCTTAAAAAAATCCAAACCCACATGCTACATCAAAATATATAATAAGACAATAATTTACGAATTAGTTAATTACACCAAACTAAAAAGTTTTACTCTATGAAAATTTAAACATGGAATTTTTTTAAAAGCATAAAACAACCTAATTTATTTATTTATTTTGTCAATCGATAGATGATTATCTATAAACAACTCGGACCACCATTAAAAAACAACAAACAATTTTAACAACTACATCAATACAAGAAAGCGTCATAATAAGACTTGACCTCTCAATTGAAAGTATGCAAGGATGTTTAATTGAATTAGCCCAGTTGGTTAACCTAATTTAAAATAGAGAAGCATTAACTCTAATACACAAATTTTTTTTATTGGCATAAGTGTCAGTTCAAAACTCGGCTAATTCTCAAAGGTGCACAAGTTCTCAATAAGAAATTTTCCGTAAATACACTACAGTTAATTCAAGAATTTTTTTCCAATCCGATGGCTCCAAAAAATTGTTAATACTTAAGAAGTTTTGATCCTAAAACTTGGAGGGAGCACACCCTTAAAACTCAAGACCTTACCACCCAGCCAACCCTTAAAAGTTTTCCGCAACTCTAATCCACATATTGGACGCTGGAAATCAATATCAATATATAATTGCTTACTACAAAATATTCAATAACAACTTTAAATTGTAATAGCCTTACAATCCGTTTGGATTGATTGATTTTGACAGAAAATGAAAGAAATTGATTTCTCCCATTCTTAATTACTTGTTTAAAATACTAAAGAGAAGAGAAGTGAGAAGAAATGGACATAAATAGAGAAAAATTCATTTCTCTTCCAACTTGCTTTTTGAATCTTTCTAAATTTGGAATGATTATTAATTTTATATAATATCAAAATTGTCCATCTAAGTACTAAAGAAATATAAGTAAAAAAAGTTATTTTAGTAATATAACTTGTAAGAGTTTCTTTTATTTTATTTTTTGTAGTCTATCAAAATAAAATTGAAGATAAATTGGAATCTTTTTTGTTTTTTCTTAATTTAACCAAATAAAAAGGACAAAAATCACAATCTCTTCTTTTTCTTTTTTTTTTTCTTTTCCCTCCAAACTTAACAAATCATTTCTTTCTCCCCTTAATATCCAAACATATATAGTAGAAGAAAAGACTAGGCCACCAGCACAACCAAGCTTTTTTTTTTTTTTTTGACCGAATGTTCAGACTAACTTAAGTGCACCTTGATTAATTTCAAGATTCATGTAAAACGCCCTCTTCACGTAAATTGGACAGAAGCTACGAGCGTGGCACATATATAGCTATGAGAGAGAAAGAGAGAGACGGATACATACCTCGTGGAGCTTTTGGTGCGGAGAACAGGCCTGTGAAGATAGGAGGTGAAAAGCTTCATACAATACCACTGCTGACTCATTGAGAAATTTACATTAAAACCAATATCATTAAAGATGGTAGATTTTTAAAAAAAAAAATCAGATTGCTAAGAATATTGTATGGATAGGCGCACTTCAAAAAGAATATTATCTCTATATATAGTAAAGTTTGTTAAATGTGTAAGTTGGGCAATCCTTATCCTTAAGCAAATAGTCTGAATGAGATTGCTTGTTGTAACAAAATATATACATATTCCTTAGAAGAATGAGTTGTCCAGGTATTTCAGTTACATGCTCAGGAGAAGCAACATTTCGAACAGTAATATTATTTTGATATTATGATGTTCAACAATAATTCATCCCACTAAAAAACATCACCACTAATAGCACTAATGCATTAAAAAAGTAAAAAAAAAAACAAAACTACAATTCTAAGACCAAAACATCACATCATTAATGACGGGACCCACTGCCACCTAATTAGTGGGAGCACTTAGTGCTCCCAAGCATTTTTCTATAATGTTTAAGTGATGCACAAGTTATCTCAACCAGTTAAAAAGTAATCTCTAGTAAATTTCCTAATTTTAAAAATTATAGAAAAAATTGTTAAGAAATCCATTTCTAAGGGAGTGTATGGCATTAGATCCTATGATTGTTTCGTTTTGTATGTAACGATGTGATTAATGCAATTATTTGGTAAGAAGAATAAATAATTATCTTTAAGTATAATTTTTTTTTTTTTTTTACTCAATGTTGTTTGACTGTCGATGGCTAGAAAAGTTGTTGGAAAAAATAGTTTTTTTGGTGACTTTAATTTAATATTAAAGTGTGGTGGCTTTAATTAAATATTAAAGTGGATCCCAACCATCTATTGTGTTGGGTCTAAGTGGGCCAAAAATCATTGAGAATTGAATAAGAAATTGCCAAGAAATTGCCTCGTGATGTTAGATTCATGAATGAGATTTTAAAGGGTATTTAAATCATTTTTCTTGGCTAAAAGGTTTAAATCCTTTGGACATCCAAACTATTCAACTTTTTGAAAAGGGGCTATAGATGTTGGTTAATGGTGTTTTAATGACCAGCCTTAAAGGCTGGAGGCTCTTCTTCTCTCCCTATACATGTATAAATTGAGACCCTCATGTCAAGTCTCAATATATAAATTTTTGCTTCCATTTTACAAGTCAGTTTGCCAGGAAGTTCCTACAGTGAGAGAGTGCTACCACAGTTTTTGTTCGCTAAGCTAGACAGAGAGTGCTTCTGCCGTAGCTGGTTTTTGACCGTCGTATCCTGGGAGACAGATGCCAAGATTCCTCAATCACTTGACCCGTGAGGCGGCGAAATCTGTTTTAAGGAAACTGCTACCGTGCAGGCTTCGATTTGGTTTCTTTACCGTTTTATTGTATTATGTATTTCTATTGTAATTTAGTTGTAATTATCAGCATATGTTCTTGGTATATAATTTTGATTTTTTCATAAATCTATTTATTTAATTTCATAATTTGGACAACAAGTTTAAAACAGATTTTTATATATTTTCTATGAAATTGATCGAATAGATTTATATAGACAATTAGGTTAGCTTTGTATAATGTTACTAGGAACTGTTGCAGAATTGATCATTGTTTCAATGATACAAAATATAAATTTGCATCTTTAGAGATTCAAGTAATTTATATGAATAAGCCATTGTTCCGTTTTCTGTAGGTTAATTGCCGGTTCATGATTTTGCTTCTTTGTATGCACATAAAACTATTTTCATGCCTTCTTGCACTAATCCATCCTTCTGAGTACATTAATATATTTTTGTTTGCTAGTGAATCGATCCATGTGTGTCTTAGACATATTGCATGCTATTGCTTCTGTTATTTAAGTAGACTATCTGTACTAAAGAGAAAGTACACTGTTTGTTTTTCCTTTGGAAATTCAATGATTGTAAATTATGCAATGTTATTCTCTAATTGCTTAGTCTAATTAGAATGCTATATCATAATTTACATACTTAATTGTATTAGTATGATCTTATTCTATGCGTATGGTTCATCATTCCCCTACCATGATTTGCATGAATTTTAAGGTTATAAAATATAATTTATGGATGTTACAATTTTGACATGCTAATTCTATTCTAGTTTTTAATTTGTTACATGCTTATTATTTTCTAGATTAGATTACATAATTAAATTTTTTTTAGAATTATTTGCATATGTTAATTGCTGAATGGTTATTGGTTTGTAACTCTTGCCTATTAATTTTAGTTTAATGTATTTTGGAGTTATAGAGTTTTATGAATTGTGTACATGATTAATTTGAATTTAATTGGGTGCATTAATTTGAATTTAATTGGGTGCATTAATCTGAATTATCTAATTGTGTGCATTAATTTTTGGTTTTTATTTATTTATTTGGAGTTACAAGTTTACATGATTGTTGTGAATTAATAACTCATGATTATTAAATTTTATTTTAAAGTTATAATTTAATTTTGAAGTTACAAATTGTATTTTGTTTTGGTACCTCATATTAGTTGGTTACTTATATAATTAATAGTTGGCTAGATGGTTTCATTTAATTTATTATATTTACTTTTTTCTTAGATTATTTATTTGTATTTTGTTGTGGTTTGTTACTAACTTTCTTTGTAGGCATACCAATGCGAAAGGGAATGGAAAAACAAATACAAAACCAAATGAATAGTATTTGGGATATAAAAACAAAAATATTTAGACTACTAACATTTGTGTTGAATAGGAATACCTAAGCGTGGAAAGGCTTTTGGACTAAATAGAATCCTTAAGGATTTGTTATTTTATTTAAATGTTTGAAGCATGTTTGCTTGAGATGTAGTTGGTTTGTTTACCAATTTATAGTAGCAGGTTTTATTTGCTTATATTGTTGTAGCAATTGTTTTACATTGCTTGTAAAAGTTTTGGACCTTGGTTTCTTTTAACCTAGTTCATCCCTAAAAAAAATTTAATTCTTAAAATTATTTATTACGGATTAAGAGTCAACATGCTCTTGAAAGTTTTGTCAAAATGTTAACTGAGTTTTAAGTGGGACCGATGTGACCCCTCTAGTCTTTCTGGGAACTTTCTTGACCATGTTCGATTCTAGGCTTTGTGGTAAGACAAATTTTGAATTAACTTTTCATGTGAGGGATTTTCTAAGGGTTAAGTTTAATTTCTGGAAACACAGAAGTGATATTCTGGTGTAATTTTCAGAAATGACAACTATCACTGATGCTGCTGCTACTGCTAATGTTGGTGGGGATCTAAACCCCGGGGCAACTAGGTTGCCAACCCCTACTGCTGTGACCTCTGTGGTCAACCCTAGCGTTACTCCGGCTGTTCCGGGAGGACCGCTTAGTCACCATGAGCGCCCAAAAAAAATTGATGGGGTAAACTTTAAGAGATGGCAGCAAAAGATACTGTTTTACTTAACCACACTAAACCTTGCAAATGTTCTGAGCGAGGATTCTCCAGCCGTGGCAGAGAATGAGCCAGACAGGTAAAAAGTCATGGCGCTTGACACATGGAAGCAGACAGACTATCTTTGTTGGAACTATGTGTTTAACAGCTTGGCAGACTCACTGTATAGTGTGTTTTGTACCAAGAGCTCAGCAAAAGAGTTATGGGAATCTCTGGACAAAAAGTACAGGACTAAGGGTGCCGGGGCAAAGAAATTTATGGTTGGTCGGTTCCTAGATTTTAAAATGGTAGATTCAAAAACTGTGATAAGCCAAGTCCAAGAGTTCCAAGTGATCTTGCATGAAATTCATGCAGACGGAATGCCTTTGAACTAGTCATTCCAAGTTACTGTGATCATTGAGAAACTTCCCAATGGTTGAAAGGATTTCAAGAACTACTTAAAGCATAAGTGCAAGGAAATGTCAGTTGAAGACCTGATTGTCCAACTCCGAATTGATGAGGATAATAGAAAGAAATGAGGGAGTACCTCCTCAGTAAAGGCCAATGTCATTGAGCATGGAAAATCTTCTGGGGTACAGAAGAAGCCCCCTGTGAACAAGGACTCTAAGGTGGGGCCAAGGGGAGGTGTTGCAAAGAAGTCGGCTTATAAGCTGTAGGAATTTGGTTATCGGTTCTTAGGAAAATGCTACAACTGTGGTAGCGAGGGGCATTGGGCTAGTGATTGCCGCAAACAGAAGAAGCCATACAAGACTAAACCTCGTGCTTATATGGCAGATATGTAAGAGCGCTCCCATGATGAGGATGACATGCACTTGTCTGCTGTTGTCTCTGAGGTGAATATGGTGGGTTCAAATCCAAAAGAATGGTGGATTGATACTGGGGTTACACGCTATATCTGCTCCGAGAAGAAGCTGTTTACAACTCTCGAATCGATTACAAACGGTGAGAAGTTATTTATGGGAAATTCTGTTACCTCTATTATTGAGGGGAAAGAAAGGTGGTCCTAAAGTTAACCTCAGGAAATGAGCTAACCTTGAACGAAGTCCTGTATGTTCTGGACATTCGTAAGAATCTTATCTCAAGGTCTCTTTTCAGTAAACATGGTTTTCGCATGGTTTTTTAGTTTGACAATGTCGTTCTAACCAAGAGCAGAATGTATATGGGTAAGGGTTATATATTGAAGGGTATGTTTAAACTCAATGTAATGACTATTATCCCAAAGATGAATAAAGGTGCATCTTCTTCTGCTTACATACTTGAGTCTTCCAATTTGTGACATAGTAGACTAGGACATGTGAACTTTGAATCTTTACGTAGATCAATCAAGTTAGATCACATACCATCTTTTAAGATTAATCCGAAACACAAGTGTGAAACTTGTGTTGAAGCGAAGTTGACAAGATCTTCGTTTCATTCTATTGAAAGAAGTTCAGAACCGTTGGATTTAGTGCATAGTGATGTGTGTGACTTAAAATTTATACAATCACGTGGTGGCAATAAGTACTTCATCACTTTTGTTGATGATTACACTAAGTATTGTTATGTCTATTTGCTCAAAAGTAAAGATGAGGTTATTGACAAGTTTATTCTTTATAAGAATGAAGTTGAGAATCAAGTAGGCCGCAAGATTAAGGTTTTAAGAAGTGATCGTGCTGGTGAGTATAAATCTCCGTTTATTGAGATTTGTGCTCAATCTAGGATTATCCACTAAACCATAACGCCTTATTCTCCTCAATCAAATGGGATTGCTGAGCAGAAGAATAGGATGCTAAAGGAAATGATGATTACAATGTTGATAAGTTCTGGATTGCCACAAAACATGTGGGGGGAAGCAATTCTCTCTGCGAATTACATTCTAAATAAAGTACCCCGGAAGAAGGTGGACAAAACGCCGTATGAGTTATGGAAA